GGTTTGAATAGCTAGCCTTCTGGTTAGCATCCAAATGAGCTACCCACTACACCACCAGAGCTCCTCCGTGTCTTAAAGTAGTCTTGAGAAATTATGTTAAGACATTCTGGGGGTGAAACAAAAAACTTAAAAGAGTTTTCTAATCTCCTCTGTTGGAGGTAAATATTAAGCAACTATATTTGCAGTACTATTAAAAAAATTTTTAAATTAAATTACAAAAAAAGTTTATGTATGTGTGTATATACATATAGCTATTTCACAATGCATATACTTTATATTGTTTACTCAAAGTCCTCTCTACCAGAACTTGTCAATCCTGAGGTTCTCAAAATTCGTTTCTTAAATTTTTCTGGTCTTTGAAATAAAAGGACTCCCTGGTTGATGCAAATGGTTAATGTGCTCAGTTGCTAACTGAAAGGTTGAAGATTTGAGTCCACTCAAATGCGCCTCAGGAGAAAGGTCTGGCAACCTACTTCCAAAAAGCATATGGAACAAGTTCTCCTGTGACACGTGGGGTCACCAAGAGTCGGAATCAACTCAATGGTAACTGGTAAATGGTTTTGAAATAAAGATGATGGGGTGAGGAAGGAGACTGATCACTAACTTAGGACATCTAAAACTTTACTATCCAAATTCAAACTCATCATAATCCCTCCAAGTCACCCTTTTCCAATTATGTCATTGCTTTTCATGCTATTTTTTTCTGTGCGGCAATGTTGTTCTACTTTCATGAACTGGATAAAAACTCACTGTCGTTAGAAAACTTTTACCTGATTAAACCCTCTGATTAAGTACTCATGCTCATATTCACCATCTTTGCATTTGTTATCCTGGTGCTTTGGAAGTGTGCTCAAGGAAGATGTATACATTGTGACTCAGTGATGATACTGTGAGGGTTATTGATTAAACCTATTCTTCACTCTATGAGACCAGAATCAACAAGAAGAATGCATTGTTCACAAGGTGATGTAATTTCTTACCAGTACTGAAGAGCCTATTAATAAAACTGGTGGCTCAATGAAGTGATGGTGGGGAAAAAACTCAAAACTAAAAATCAGCAAGAGAGAGTATATTGCCTGTAATACAGCAATAAAGAACAATGGTTCTCAAAGTGTAGTCTAGGGATCCC